TTTAAAATAAAAAAAAAAAAAAAAAGATAAAAGTTATTTTAAAGGATATATGCTATTTGAGGGATTCACGACTCATAGCAAGGAGCTGATCTTACGAGAGCAAACCACCTGGACTGTCGAAAGTTCAAATTCATCATACATTGAAAAAGCAAATCAATCAGGAGGGGACACGTTGGCAATTTTCTTATATTTATCCTCAAAGAATTTGTCCAAGTGGGTATTTCATTAGTATAATTATTTCAGCCAAGTGGCAACTCTTGAAAGAAATCTAAGCCCACTTGGCTAGTTGTTTCCAAATCCTCACTTCCTTTGTTAAGACCGTGTGCACCACTCCCTATTCATCAACGTATCTCCAACGTCAATTAAAAAAAAATGAAATTTACCCATTTACGTATTTTAACTCGTCCAATTTGTTCAGGCTTAAATGGTTAGATTATGGTCCATTTATCGATCTAATTCAACAAGATAAACTTGAAATGAGTTGTAAAATAGGTCAATATAATGTATCCTTATAGGTCAAAGTCAAACTCAAATCCAATACAAAATTGAATTTCGAGATTACAAATTATTTCAATTTAGAAAAATTTGAAAATCAAGTCAATTTGGAGATAGAGAATTATTCAGAAAACAAAACCAAAAAGAGGAGAGATTAGATTATGTTTGACGGGAATGGTGATAAGTTATGACTCGCTAATTTTAATTTTTTTAACCTAACTCATATTAACTCAAGCAAACATGCATAATTCTTTTCCTCAACGTGAAAAGGGGTAGTTCGGTGACGGTGCATAAAATATTTCGTACCATACAAAGTTTAGAGGATCGTGTTTTTAGGGGTGTGATGTAGACAATTTATTTCAATACAAGCATTAGTGGTAGCTAGCTTCTCCGGTTCGAATCCATGATTAGTTTATATGACTCCTTCACCGCTCATATTGCATCATGCTAAGTACGTGAGATTGACGCACTTAGAGAGCGTATACGAAGCTCAGGAATAATCCATGACATTTTGGATAAGAACCCTTTTTATTTCTCTTCCACATTAGATCCGAGTCATAATACTATACTGTACAAAATACAAATCCCCACACACAGCAACTCCTTCTGACTTTCTCTCTTCCCTCTTACAAAGAAATATCAAATCCACAGTTTCTTTTTTGCTTTCCGTGTACCACCAGAAACAGACACCTTAACCTCCTCAAAATTCTTAAAATTATAGTAAACCCCATAACCCTTCATCCTCCAGAATCCCCCTACAAAAATTCCTCTATTTTCGTTTCTCCATTTGTCATACCTTTATACTCAAATTAGTAGTACTAGCACACGACTATACTCACCAATTACTTGTTAATTAATTGCCTCTTTCATTACGTTAAAGTTTTATCAATCCAATAAACAGATAGAGTAGAAAAGAAGGTTCGGAACAAGGTTGACTGAGACCACCAACCGACTCCTAGACTCGATTTTTCTATGGATGCTAATGTTTCGTCTAATCCAATAAGCACATAGAGCTGAAGAGAAGGTCCGAAACAAGGTTGACTCGACTGCTCGACACAATTTTTCTTTGTTTTTAGTCATGGGTGCTAATGCTTCTTGTATTGACTCGCGAAAAGATGGATTAAATAACGAGTCATTAAAGCGTAAGCTCGAGGATATACCCGAGGCATGTGTTGCTTTAGTATTGTCATATTTGGACCCGCCGGAGATCTGTAAGTTGGCTCGTATTAATCGGGTCTTTCGTGCCGCTTCTTCTGCTGATTTTATCTGGGAATCCAAGTTGCCGTCAAATTACAGATATTTACTTGAGGAGGTACTGGGCATGAACGTTGCCGGCATGCATAAAAAGGATATCTTTGCTAGGCTTTCCAAGACCAATTCCTTTGATGGTGGCACAAGGGTTTGTTTGTTTGTTTGACTGTTTGTTTAAATAAATGAGTTCTTTATTCATTTTTATGAGTTTGAGTTTTAATTATTTCAAATGAAAAAATTTGGATAACTACAGGAAATGTGGATTGACAAGAATAATGGAGGAGTTTGCTTGGCAATTTCTTCAAAAGGAATGACCATTACTGGTATCGATGATCGGAGATATTGGAATCACATTCCGACTGAAGAATCAAGGTGGGTTTATCTACTTTTATATTTATTATATTTCTACCTGTTGTTTGTGTGTTTAGGGTCGGTTGATTCGCAAACAAGTTAAACTGATATCATAATGTGGGGATTATAATCAGGGCGGATATAGAGTAGCAACGCCGGGTTCATCTGACCCATAATTTTCAATGGGAGCATAAATTTATGTCTATAAATTCATTAGAATTACAATAAAATAGTAGGTCTGAACCCATAGGTTTAAAAATATAATAAATTCAATGCTAAGAGACTTAAAAGTTGAATTCATTAAATTTAGATTTTGAATCCGCTTCTGATTATAACACATGATTAATTAATAACATGGTTATTTTGGTGAACACACTTTTTTATGTAAATTATGGCTCATTGTATTAAAAATAAATTCAAAAAGGAAAGGATTGAAAATGAATTAATAACATGGTTATTTTGGTGAACACACTTTTTTATGTAAATTATGGCTCATTGTATTAAAAATAAATTCAAAAAGGAAAGGATTGAAAATGAAATATACGAAGTATAATATAAAATATTGTTACTTGGACAAACTTTTATTTTCAATTTTAACTTTAATATTCTTAATGAACTTTGAAGTGTTGTGTAGAGGGGCATCTATGTCATATGATTATTTTATTCCCGGGAAAGCTAATTTCAGGATTTTTAGACATTAAATATGATTTAAAAGAAATATCGCAAATTACGATATAACTAATTCCCGAATTGCTTACCAAACATAGGCTATAAAAATAAGTAAAGGCTCAAATTTTGAATGAAATTGATACAGATGAACACAATAGCGTGTGTGTGACTGAGTGCGTCCAACCTCTGATTTTCGCGTCTCAACGAAATATACCTTTTTTTCTATAATAACGTGTATGGAAGAAACTGAGCTATTGACTTGTAGAATGCTATACCTTGCTATTTACGGTAGTCTAATGAAAAAGACCTTAGGGGTCTTTATCTTTTGGATTGAAAAGTATCTTGTTTCATTGGGAAGGAATGTGATTCCAATTAAGTATCTCTTGTGCTTTATTATTTCAAAACAGATTGAATAGATTTATTGATCTCTCTATTTCATTATTTTTCACTTAGGTTCCAAACTGTCGCATATCTTCAACAAATGTGGTGGCTCGAAGTCGATGGGGATCTTGAATTCCAATTCCCAGCAGGAACATATAGTCTATTCTTTAGACTTCAGCTTGGCAGGGTGGCGAAGAGACTAGGGCGTCGAATATGTAACACCGATCACGTTCATGGCTGGGATTTGAAACCGGTACAGTTCCAATTAACGATGCCAAATGGCCAACGTGCCATATCGCGATGTTATTTGGACAATGTAGGTACATGGACACATCACCATGTGGGAGATTTTGTAGTCGAGGATCCCACGGTCGTGACGAAAATAAAATTTTCACTGATACAGATAGATTGTACACATACTAAAGGTGGTCTTTGTGTAGATTCCGTTTTCGTTTGCCCTATTAGTTTAGGTAAAGAGTTGAGATCTTTTAATAGTTTGATAGTCACCAAATGATCAATTTGTAGACCAGAATGTTTTTGCCTAGAGTAGAGAAATCGGTATGTATAGTTTTCTCCCACAATGTCCTTAATTTTTATTGTACACATGCGTGGAGATTGATGGTTGATTGGTAGTCTATTTTTAGTCAGAATTACAGTAGGGCTCTCTTTGGTGTCTATAGCTTTTTGCATATATTTCTCTTATGTTTTTCATTCTTATCCCCTTTTTTTTTAGGGGAAACTAGGCTCAATGGTAAAAGTAGTTGTCATGACTAGGAGGTTACGGGTTCGATTTGCAAAAGTAACTTATTTCTAATAGAAAATACAAAATAACACTGTACATTAAACACAGTGTAATCCGGCCTTTTGCAGACCTTATGCATAGCGAAAACTCGATGTACCTGTTGATTGTCAAAAGTCCCACATCGGTGGGTGACAATTTGGGTTTGGAAATTTTTCCCTATAAAAGGAGGCCTAATGTTTAGGATTTAAATACATCTCTCATTTGCCTTCTTATCTTCTTAAGGCATTTGTATCTTCTCTCTTTAGTATTATTTCACTTGTATTTTTTGGAGTGGAATAAAATATTGGTTATGTCCGAGGAAGTAGGCAAAATTGGCCGAACCTCGTAAATTTTGGTGTTCCTTTTATTGTTGCTTTATTGTCTTATTTATTATTTGGTGGCTGCCATAATTTTTGGTATAGTAGTTGTGACTCATTCACACTATATACATTTGGCTTC